TCATCAGGTACCAGAACAGTGAGGGGCTTTTCCTACCAACAAATAACCGCTCAATGAACAAACATGGTTCAAGAAGAAATTGGGAAATGGTCATGGTGAGGAAGTGACTCGCTCATGGCTGGTCTATTCCCTTCTAAAAGTGTGCATTTTGTATCTGTTGTCTTCTCTATTCCCGGTCAGACCATCAATCCTCATAGGAACAGGAAAGTAGATTCAACCAGTGGAAAGCACATGAAAGGATTAATGTTCATGAAAATCCTAAGAATCATCTGGAGTGCTTCACACAGTGGAACGAAATTTAGCTGAAAACAGAGGAGTTATTGACATGGAACTTCAGTTACAGATTGAGAATGAAAAGCAGAAGTGGCATGATATCCCTGCATAAAATACCTTGCGATTCAGAACCTGGCTTTGCAAGGACACAGGGAGTCACTTGAACTAAACGATGACTCCAATGTGGGAATTTCCTTGGCTTACTGAAACTACTGGCCATCTTTGACCCTGTCATGAAAGAACACCTCACTCGTTTGGAAAGTCATCCTGGATCCACGTCTTATCTTTCACCAGGTGTCAGAACGAATTCATCAGCATGATGTCATCCACTGTTTGCCAGAGTTTACTGAGAAACATTCGTAAAGTCAAGTACTATGGTCTCATGTTCAACTCAACTCCTGATCAGGCACACCATGAGCAGATGTCAGAAGAAGTGAGGTACATGGAAGCTGATTTTGAGAGGAAAACAGTCCGTGCTAGAGAGTCCTTCCTTGGTTTTATCCAGATAAGACAGAAGGATGCTGAGAGCTTGGTTGAAGACATCTTGAAACAGCTAAAGAAGGACGAAATGGAGCTACAAGATTGTCGATCACAGTGCTATTACAACACTGCTGTGATGGCTGGAGAAAGAAATGGTGTTCATTAAAGAATAAATGAGGAAAACAACCTGGCAGTGTTTGTGAATTGCGACAATCACTCACTCAACTTGGTGGGTGTACATGCAGCCAAGCAGGATACAATGATGATCATGTTTTTTGGAATCATCGAAACTCTCTACGTGTTCTTCTCTCGTTCAACACAGCGCTGGGAAAAACTCAAAAACGCTGTGCCTGTGGTTGTTAAGTCGCAGTCCGAAACTAGGTGGAGTGCAAGGACACAAGCAGTGAAGCCCGCGAACAAGTACCTTGAGGAGATACTTCAAGTTTTCCAGGACATGATAGACAATGAAAACGAGACCAGTGAAACAAGAAGTGACGTAAGGCAGTTGTATAACCGCATGTTGAGTTACGATTTTCTGACTTTCCTAGGATTTTGGAACAAAGTACTCATTCGCATTGATCGTATTCAGAAGAGGCTACAGAATCCTAGCATGAACTTCCACGATACTGTCCTGGAGTTGAAAGCCCTCCGAGATCATTTTGATGATGAAAGAGAAATGTTGGTCACTGAGTCATTCGAAGAAGGACTCGGTCTCTGTCAAGAATAGAATATTGAAGTTGAAAGACGTCAGAGACGAAAGAAACGAAAGGCTGATGAGAACTCCAGAAACAGTGGGTTAACAGCCAAGGAGGAAATGGAAAGAGGCATAAAGGGAACACTCGACCATCTTCACAGAGAAATGGATGAAAGGTTCGCTCATTTGCACGACACTGACGCCAAGTTTGGGTTCCTTCTCGATGTCGAGGGACTGTGTTACGGCGCCGACAGTAACGACCTAAAGAAGAAGTGCGAAAATTTGGGCGAATTGTACAGCTCTGGTGTTGATGGACAGCAGCTATATGAAGAAATTTTGGATTGCTTAATGTTGCTATCAAGTCGGACCAACATGAAGAGCTTCTCGAATTTTTTGTTCAATATGGAGATAAGAGCGTCTTCTCCAATCTCCGCATTGCTATTCAGATAATAGTAACCATCACAGTTTCCATCGCCAGCTGTGAGAGATTATTCTGCAAGTTAAAACTAATACTTTCGTATTTGCGAGCCTCCAGGGGGGAAGGCAGACTCTGTGATCTTGCTCTGCTGAGCGTAGAAAGCGAAAACACTGAAAAAAAGTAACTTTAAGCTCATCATAGTCCAATTTGCATCAGTGAAAGCAAGGAAGGTGCAATTGTAATTTTCATGAAGTGCCATAATTTGTTAACTAAAAGATTAACGAATTTGACTTGTATTTTTGAGCTGATAGTATGATAAAGTTATCTAAAAGATGGGTGTCAGATGTTTGGACAGGAGCGCAATTTCAGTGCTTGTCATAGGTGCTATTTTCCGTAGATACGCCCCTGCCATTAAACGCCATAGTAGAATATAACTGTAAGAAAATAATCAAAATAACCATACCAAAAACACAAATTCTATTACTTGCTAAACTAAACAAAACTATTGAAAATTACCCCAAAGCTATACCTCCAAGAAACACTTCTCCAGACAGCTACTTCTATAAAATTTCTCGGTCTAACATACGATACTAAATTAACCTGGCAAAAACATGTAAGTGAAATTTCAAACAAAATCTGGCGAAGAGTAAACTAAGTTAGAGGTCTGTCGAGGATTAACAAAGGCGCAACACCAAATAACATTAAAAATACATAAACAATACATAAGACCAGCATGGATCAATATAGCTCCCAAGAAAATCAAAAGTAAACTACACAAAATGCAATTCTAACAAGCCCATATAAAGACCCAAGATAAACAAATTTACTATTTCTACACAAATATGCAAACATCAAATCACTCCACGACAGGTTCTAAGTAGATCTTTCGAATATTTTAAGAAAAGCCTACACAAAAATGAAATGCTATGCGCATTACATAGCTATATCATACATGATGGAAATGAGCCTAAGTACCTCTCACCTATTAACATATACTATAAGGTTTAGTAATCAGCCACTTATTGCTAGATTTACATAGTATCATTTTGTGGTTTATATAAACAATGTATTAAATAGGGTATTTATGTGAATAGGTATAGTGTAAACTACTGAACAAAACATTGGTATATATGAACTTTTAAAGCAAGTGTATCCCAATGAGAATTATAAACGTTGTACATAAATGGACATGGCCCTGATAAGGGTATTGAATAACATATCATAAACTTTCGTGTATTCAATGCCTTCGTTTATGCGCGTTCAACATTTTAACAGTGCATCAACAACACCATTGCTGAGGGAGGAAGAGGTCAAGTTTGCAGGTCCACCAGCATCTAAAACCCGATAAAGCTGACCATAAAAGAGAAATAAAAAGCCAAGCCCTTTACAAGAAAACTACTTGTAAGAATTCCACGAAAGTTTGAAGAATGATACAAGTAACGGTAGGGTTTATTCCTGTAAAATTGAAAGAAAATTCGAAATCTATATTTTGTTTTAGCTAAAACCAACCCTGTAGGCCAAAAAGCTTATTGTTTCGAGCCACAAATACTGTTTCTACTTGAGTGAGCATGAAGGAAGTAATGATATTAATTTAAAAACATTCGGCCTAAGATTGAAATGATGGTTGAGGTTTTAGAATTAAATGCTCGCCCCAAAAACAAATTGGGTATGTGGAAACGAAAAAAAGAATAAGAAAACGAATAATACGGTCAGATTCGGTTAGGCTATATCTCGGCAATGGTTCAAAGGATTCCTTTCATTGTTGATGTGCTAACTACTGATGTCTTGATGGTTTACAGTTTCGATTATCTAAAGTGCAATTGTTACAATGGATGAGTCTCAGTGTGGGCGATGTTGTACACCATCACGTCGTGTAAAAAGACTCTCGGTAGAAGCTGCAGTTTTTGGGGCGCGCGTGCTTATTTTTACCTTGGCCGCGCGACTCACTCTTGATTACTATCTATAACACAAACACCATGAACACATTCCACACAATTTGCCACTTTTCTGTCATATGTGAGTCAGGAACCTAACTTGTTTAGAACTACATGAAGGCAATGCAGTAACACATGAAATGTAGTAGAGACTGGCTCTTTTTATTGTAGCAATTCGCATAAGGTGGATGGCAAATCTTA